GGCTTAGGTCTTATTTGGTATCTTTCTTCAGATTACTCCAACCAAGGAGTTGATCAGTTGCAAAAAGTGATTGAAATGATCAAAACCAATCCAGATGACAGAAGAATCATTATGTGTGCTTGGAATCCCAAAGGTATTGGACAGCAGACTTTAAGTGAATGCAGTTGCACGTTTTCTTGCTGTATGCTAAACTATGTTCTAATCCTGTGTCAACAGCCAGTTCCATTGGATGACCTTGCATACTCTACATAAAATTACCAGGAATGCAGTAAAAATGCCCAGGTGTTACATGCTTCTTTCTCTTCCCACTTCATTCTCATGTTCAGACCTCAACATTTTTGAACGTTTACTTCAAATTTTTCGATCCAGGTTAAAATGACGGATATATCTGGCTTCCAGTGACTTTGAACAAAGACAGCAACTCTTATTTTAAAAAGGTTAAAAAAACAAAATAAAAAAAGAGTGTACCAAAGTGGTGTGTCTGTTTTTTAGCCTTATAATAACTTGTAAAGTTCACAAAACCGTGAAAACTAGAGAACAAAAGTATTATTTGTGTTGTAATCGTTGCCTTGAACATAAGTTGTCTAGATATCCGTTTGCTCTGTAGGGCTTCTTCTAAGTCAGGGTTCATGCCTGAGAATGTGTAGCTTCGGCATCAGTAGATCTGTGCACACAAAAAATCACCCAGCATTTTCCACTCGTGTTTCTGAAAGGGAATGCCATATGCTGTTGCTGTTGCTTTTAAGGTTAAACATTCTCAGATACCAGGAGATTCCTGGTTAAAGTTTTCCTTAATTGCACTGTAATTGCACTATCCGCACTTTAAAGTGTAGATAAGCACTCAAAAGATCTTTTGTTTTCCGATTTTATTTTTTTATTGATGATTACTTTTATATGTCAACAAGCAGTAAAGGCAACAGGAAGAGAGTAAGATGAAGCAGTTGGAAGTCGCTTTGGGGTACATGCTTAATTTTGCTCTTAATGTCTTCCTTTAGGGAAATCAACTGTCCCGCCGAGGTGAGTAAAACTAAACTGCTGTGCAGCATTATGGCATAAATCTGGTCTGTGGAATATTTGTTTATGACTTTTCTGGTCATACAGCCCAGGAGACAGCTTGTCATGACCCAGACTTAATTGTTTAGGCAGCAGGTGCTTTTAAACGAGAGAAAGCAACAGAATGGTAGTTGCAGTTGGATATTGTATGTTATTAAATGCTGTTCAGATTTTGCGTCTTCTATATTTATAACAGAGTAATGCTGTTACATTTTTCCCCCTCTTTTCTGTACTGCAATTCCTAGATATTTCTCTGATGGCTTTGCCTCCATGCCATGCCCTTTGCCAGTTCTATGTTCTAAATGGTGAACTGTCTTGCCAACTCTATCAGAGATCCGGAGATATGGGACTAGGAGTGCCTTTCAATATTGCCAGCTATTCACTGCTCACATACATGATTGCCCACGTCACAGGGCTGAAGGTAGGCTATTTAATCATTTTACTTAATCTTGTCTGAGAAATGAGGGTCTAAAAGATAAGACTCTTCATGTCATGTCCGAGGAAAACTGTGATGAACGTGCTGTTCAAAATCTTGCTTAAATATGCTTAAGAAAGGGCCCTGTGAATTTAATGTGAATTGTTTCAGGTCTTTGTGGGCAGTTAGGATCAGCAGTGTAAGAATTCTTAAATTTGGATCAGTCAGACAGAAGATCCTCCAGGTCTTTTTAACTGAACGTGTCAAAACTGACCTGTTGCACTAGTCTACTTCTTAGAAATCTGAACTGAGCACTTGTCCTTATGTCCTTAATAACATACAAGTGATTAAATTTTGTAGCATGTGTTTTTTATTGGAAGCAAACAGTAGCTCAGTGGTTGCTGTCAAGGTTCCAGTTTGGATATTCTGCCCACCTAACTTCCAGCTACGATTTCAACTGGGTATTTTTTTCATTTCCTACTGTAGATGACTATATATGTAGAGTGGCAGTATGTTCTCAAATAACTACTGCCCTCACTCCAGAGCTGTATTTTGCAATTTGGCAGAGTAACTTAAATGCACCACAGTCTTGTACAAGTGGAATCCTTCCTTTCTTTACAGCATGTAAAAAACTGTACTAGCAAGGCCATTTGGGCCTGATGTTTAGGCTACCAGCAACATGAAGGGGAGCTTAAAATAGGGAAGTAGGGAATAATCGCGTTTCCCAGCAATTGCAGGCATGTGTAAGAAATAAAGCCAAAGTACTAGAAAAAGTTAAGTTTAACGTTATGTCTGTAAAGCAGCTGTTGCCCTTCAGCCGCTTCCTCTCACAGCTTTGGTGGTTTTCAGCACAGTATATCTGAGGCCTGATCAGTCAGAGGCCAGAAAAATACCTGATAAAACTTCCCTAAGTCACATTAGATTGCTCAGGGGCTGCTAAGGCACAGAACTTGCAAGATGGCAAAGCCCATCTGGATGCCTTGATAAGTGCTTTGGCGTTTAGCCTGTGACCGACACCTCCCCTGCCACAAACTACATCGTTGAGTAGTGGCTATTGCAACTAGTCTGGAACCAACTTCAACAAGTCCTACTTACTAGAAGTGCAGTGGAAAAGCTGGACGTCACTTCCCATCTGTTTCCATCTTGGTGAGCAGATGAGTAGTGCTCCATTCATTTTACCTGCTATTATCCCAGCAGGATTTCAAAGATAAATTTTTTTGTAAGCTAGTGGAAATTTCATTACACTTCTCATTAATTATGGATTAGTCTGGGAAGACAGTGTCCTTCAAAGCTTGCAAGGATGTCTTGATAATCCAGTCTAGTACAGAAGCTGCAATTCCACACTAAGTCAGGACTGTAAGCATTGTAATGTTGTGCTTTCTTGAAACCTGACTATTTGTAAACCACACGTATTCTCCTTTCTCTTCAGCCTGGAGAGTTCATACACACATTAGGAGATGCTCATGTGTATCTGAATCATGTGGAACCTCTGAAAGTTCAAGTAAGTACTTACTCTGTATTCTTGTTTCCTTTTGTCTTCTGCAATGCTTATCCAGTACAAAGTTATCTTGGTATTATAAATACGCTTTTGCAAATACTAGCTTGTGTGGCTTTTTTTTTTTCTCATTTCTACCCTAATAATTGTAGTACCTTAACTTGTGTTCAGCTTGGGTTGCAAACAGAAATACAGTACAAACATGATTAAAATGAACATCAGTGAACTATTCCAGAACCAAGTTGGAAATCCAGGATCTGTAGCGCTACTTTTGATTTCATCATCCCAAAACACGAGCAACCTGGTCCAGTGAGTGGTGTCCTTGCTCCTGGCAGGAGAGTTGGAACTGGATGATCTTTAAGGTCCTTTCCAACCTAAACCATTCTATGATTCTAAACGTTAGAAAACCATTTCACCTAATACAGATAAACACAAAATGTCTTTGTAATATATCAGAAAAGGATAACTTATACATTCATAGAGATAATCAGTATTACTATTTGGCTGGATAAGGCTGGCTATGTTTGCTTCAGGAAGTAATTTGTTGCAGTAGGAGCAAATAATAATAATTTTATTTCATTAGACTTAGCTTGGACCATTCGCATGGTTCAAAACCAGTCAGAGAATGTTACTGGTTTGGACACAAATGTTCTGTGAGAAACTACAGCCCATTTGATGCTCATTGGGGTCAGAATTTCCAACTTAGTTTCCTCTGGAAGGAGTCTAATTTGTAACCACCAGAATTGCTCTGCAAACTGGAAATGCTTGCAGTGCATTTGGATGATCAGTGGATTCACTTTAAAATTATGCTGCTGCTCCCTATCAAAATACTAAAGTAGATTCCACCTAACTGGATTATAATTTTCTTTTTTTCCTTCTTTTTTCTTGAGAATAAGTTCCTAGGGAGGAGGGAAAATCTACCTAGTGTAATCTGAACGGAGATTTATGAGATCTAATTTATAACGCAAAATCTCTGCCTTCAAGTATTAGCTTTATACAATAAGCTTGCTTTTATTTCAGCTTCAGAGGGAGCCAAGACCTTTCCCCAAACTCAGAATTCTTCGTAAGGTTGAAGACATCTGTGACTTTAAGGCAGAGGACTTCCAGATTGAAGATTATAATCCTCATCCACCTATTAAAATGGAGATGGCTGTTTAATGCTATTAACCAGCTTCTGTTAATGTGGAAATGTACCTAAGCTACTTAGCTTTCTCTGTCCTTAAAGTTACTGGGGTTTTGTTACTTCAAAAGGTTTGTACTTTGTTATTGAAAAAGAAGCAGGTATTAGTAGACCGGTACTGCCTTCAAGTACTAACCTGTAGTCGTACAGAACAGATGATTATTTACTCCTGCTGCACTATGCAGATGCTAACCCAGTTTTAAGTTGTTACCAAGATAGTTTTTGACACCCTGTTTCAGTTACCAGTGGCCACTTCTGTTACCGTTCACTTACTACATGTGAGTAGCACTTGCTTTACATGTTTTATTTAGTACTGAAAATATGAACTTTTATGTACGACAGAGGATTCCTTCAAGGTTGTAGAAGGCTTTAAATATGTTCTAAAGAGTATTTGTTTAATAAAGCTTTAAAAAAAAAATCTTTTGGAAGAGACAGTGCATGTTTAATTTTAGTATGTTTGCTTATACTTAGTAGTAAATAAGAGTTGGAGCAAAGGTAAATTCTGTTTCACTTTAGGATCTTGGAGGGTGAGATCTAGCAAGGAAAAACAAGCTCAAACTTCCCCTGGTCTTCATATATGAACCAGGCAAGGTGACAGAAGATGTTGATGGAGCCTTGTCTAAAATGCAGTCTTTGCATAACATCTCTTTTGCAGCATTTGTTTTGTTCCACAGCCCTACGTGAATGATGATACAAATCAAAGAGAGCTGTAGTTAAACAGAGGTTTCCAGGTGGTATTAGTAACAATTTGTTATCATTTAAAACCAGATCCCACAGACATATGGACTAATTTTGCAGCCTGGAGTAGTAAAAGGTAGAGACAGTGGTATTTATAGGATTGGAGCTTATTAATTAAATCTTAGCAGAAATGAGCTTCCATCTCTCCTTATCCTTACAAATTCTGCCGTAATTTCAGTCCTTAAAAAAGTCCTTTTTAAGAATTCAGTTATGTATAGATCTACAGTTACTATTCAGACATAGCATATTCAATACGTATTTGAACACATGGAAAAATGCATAGTAATTCTTATTTGAAATATCTTGATTAATTTTTAGATTCAGTAAACAATGATAAATATCATTGTGAAATGGTACAATTTGAGATAAATCCAAGACTTTAATAAACTGTGCTTTGATTCCATTATTCACAGGCCTACACAAGAGGACTTGCATCTTTTTTTAAACCACCTGATCATAACTTTCAGAAGCACATTTTGCATCCAAGTTGTTTGCAAATCTCATTTTACTGATCTTCATTATACTGATCACTGGTCTTCAAACTGAGCAATGGCATGTGTTCAAAAAGTAAGTTTGAGGAATCTATTTCTCGACAGGGTTAAATAATCAATGTTCCTGTGCCTTCTAGCTTGAAAGGAGCTTCTGCCAAACTTCTCCCTCTGGAAATGGATAGTTTCTTGCAGAACATTCTTTCATTTCAGTGGAATATACCAGTCTTTTACCATTTTTTTCAGACATTCAGACAACAATGAAGACATTGCAGTTGGGTAACAAGCTTCCTCAGCTCTTCAGGACTGAAGTATGAATTTGTATCTTCCTTTGAGCCTGTCTGAAAGGCGAGTGGGAATCCTCTTCCCAATCAGTCTTATCCTATCCCTGTTGTCTGGTTAAAGCTATGGGGGAGAGCAGATGTTGAGGGTACAGTCTTAATATCTTTATGTGTTTGCTAGATGAGTCAGCAACACAAACTATTAGACAGACACAGTGATATTCCTAGGACTGAATTCCGACTAGGGTTACACTCCTTTCAGCTTTACAGTTTACATTTAGAAGGTATAAATAAATAATCCTACATCTTCACATAACAGCCCATCTCTTCCCCCTTATTTCAGTATAAGTGTACTGAAGACCACATGAAAGGTCTGCTGTATATATTAAGCCTTGTAAGTCTTTCACTGTGGTGGAGATACATTACTTTGCAGCATACCTGAGGTGGCATATAGGAAGCATTATTTATTACTGCAGGATATGTGAAGGTGATCTACAAATTCACACGTCCTGGAACTAAAAATGGAGCTCGGATATACAGCACCTGAAGTCCCCAGTCCAACTGCTGCTACCATGGGCAACAGGTTCCTTATCTCCCTACATAAAGCAGTCAGCTTTCACTGTAAAACTAGTTGTGTCTCCCCTTGTTGGCTACTGAAAAGGCATTCAGCACATTAGTCTTAGAAGATAAATAATTTTCTAATTTCCACCAAGTAGGACTTTTAAGCTTACATTGTTCTTTTTTCCTAATGTTCAGACCGATACAACAAAATTGCAGAAAGAAGATGTCATTACCTTCTATAAGTACATCGAACATAAATAGGCCTCTGCTTATTAGAAGGGGTCTCCTCAGTATCTACTGTAGTCCATCTTTCTTGAACAGTGATGATCAGACTGTACGTGCTCTTTCAGCTGAGATCACATGAGAAACTTGGTACATGGAAGAATCAAACCTGTCTTCTTCTGAGGCTGCATTAAGTGGACACTCCATAGCCAGCCAGTAGTTAAACACACTTGAGTCTTCTTTCAAATTATTGAACTCACAGATTGTAGCAGTATTCTTGTTACTAGATCTGAACACCACATCACATGCTCCTTCCAATAAATTTCATCTCAGCTGTAGTAGTCTTATATTTTAAAGTAACCTGGTTCAGATATTCCAGGTGTTATCTGCATTAATGATACCTCCCAGCTTTAGGGTGTCAGCAGCTTCTTGCCATGTGCATACTTTTATAAATTAAAAGTTCTTGAGTGTATTTACAGTCCTCTAGCATACAAGAAAACAGTTTAAGTTGCAAATTCACTTAACAGTTCTGCCTACATTTAGCAAGTTAAGTTTCTTTTGCTGGCAACCACTTTATGTAGCATGTCAGATGAGGTGGAATGTGGAGGGCATCCTTAAACAGACCAATATATATAGCTCTGGAAGAGCTATTGCTTCTCGGTACAGGAGTTAACTGCAACTTCACTGTTCCCCTTTATCAGCACAGTTTACTACCAATAGCAGCTGCTGAAATGAAGCTTCTACCTTGAAGTCCAAGAAGGTTTACACTGCTCAAAAGTTCAGAAATATGTAAAAAGCAGACTTTTTACAACAGACTTCAGTATGAATAAAAGTGAAAATACACATTTTTTAATGAATAGGTGTGAGACTTCTATGATATCAAGCAAAAAATATGAACATTCAAAGATTTTGAGTAAATGGACTTAAACAGGAGGTACTCAAGGAATTTTGTTTTGCAGATTATGAAGACTGTTCACTGCTGCAAAGATGACTAGCATGACTGCAGGCTATATTCAGAGCAGTATTTTAGACAAAACATAGGACATCATTAGATCCTTTTGGGAAGCTATGACAGGAACCCTCAGGCCTGCTGAGAGAAGGGGGCGTTCTTGGACTTACTTCCTGATGAATAAACTGTCCCAGCAGCTCCCTTGCCCTCGCACTCCCCAGCTGATGACTTAGGGAGCTGTACAGATGGCATTAGAAGTCAGTTTCTTACCAGCTCTGCATATACATGGCGTTTTTGAGTCCTTGCCATTTGCCCTGACCACTATGCTCATTCTGCCTCACAACTTGGCCTTGAAGAATGTCCTTTCTTCTGTTACTCCTCTTCTGAATGCATCCTTTCATCATTCCCCCGCTTTCCAAGGTCAATTCAATCAACTTGGAGATGGCAAAGAAATGTCTTACCACTTTGCTCAGATAGCAGCTCCGTCTGTATTCCACCTTCCTAGGCAAGCTTTTGTAACCCACAGTATTTCTGGCATGTTGCAAAATCAGCCGTACTGCAATACCAGAAAGAACATTAGTTACCTGGTCATGACAGATGAGGGGTCAGAAAAGAAAGAGCTGTATCTGAATTTTGAGACAAACACCTACCTGAAGAGCCATCAAAATTGATAGCTGTTAATAAGTCTGACTTGGCAAGTTTGCCACTACAGTTACTGTCGTCTGTGAAATGTTTGGAAGGTGGCACTCGATGATCTTTAAGGTCCCTTCCAACTCTGATTCTATGAATATGGAATACAGCTAAGGTTTCAAGTACCTTTATCAAAACCACAAGCTGTTCACTTTCACCTGCTTGAAGTTTAATTCACATTTGTAACTTCTCTTTGTAGCCTACAGGTAAGTGGGCTTGTAGGGTAACAAGAGAAATGCATCCTGTGACCACCATGTAGCAACGTTTTTTAAGAAAAAAAAGAACGATCACTGTAGTCAATATCTTGCTGGAGTATTTTGCATAACTAACTTGCTTTCAGGGCTTTCCGATACTGGGATATAATCAGGTATTATCAAGTGCTGGACTAATTCACAGAGATCCCCCAAGTCCGTACTAGAGAAAGTGTCCAGTGCCAACATGTGGAAAGCCCTTTTGGGCAGCCCTACAGCGTGACATGAAACAAAGACAATTACAGCAGTGCATGCAAGCTTATGCTCATAAATCACAAGCATGACAGCTGAAGAAACTAATCAGAGTAGCTTGGAGCGCGGGGACAGAAAGATTTTCTCAATGCTGCTGCATTTTGCAGAGCCTTACTCTGGAACATTTTGGCCATCAGCTGCACAGACAAGTTTTCATTCACCCTTCCCAGCCTGCAGTGTCAATTTAGAGATAATTTGAGGCCTTAGCTTTGCAGAAACTGTTTAAATATCGCTCTGGTGTGGCAGTGTATGGGAGAAAACAGAAAGTTAAGACCTGAAGTCTCCCAGATTAACATATTAAAAGAGCTGCTGGCAGCTCATATAAAAACATTTATACAGTGTCCTTCCTGTGTGTCTCAATAAACGCAAATTATTTTAATTTGGGTTTAAATGAGAGATCACATGAGAATTTGGATGAAGTGAAGTTGAAGGATGTTGCCAATATTAAAAATAATCAGCTAATATTAAAAATAAACTTGTAATGTGAAGAGTGCCTCAAACTGCGACAACCTGACACAATGAACTGAGGTATGCTGAAAAAAAATCACTACGTGCCAAAGGAATGAGTTTGGAAATTACTGCCCCTTAACTGGATGTTGAATCAGATAAGTGAAAGTGAAGCAAAAACGCCAAGTGAAAATGGCTCTTCCATTCCAGGACAAGGACAGGGGCTTAACCCCTGCAAAGGTGGCTAAGTTTGTACTGAAACCACTGTCTAATGCTGGTATGAACTGATCAGGCAGCTCTGCCAGCTATTTGCCTCACAGACTGGCTCAAAATCTCCTGAGGATTTCAGCTCCTTTAGGAGTCAGTTTACCTGCCTCCAGCCACACAACTGTGTCCCCAGGCAGGGGTTTGGGATACACTGGGACTGGACTGTCTTAGCCCCACTTCAGCATGGTCAGGACTGCACAGCTTTGGGATGTGCTTACTTACGTGAATGAGCAGATACTCCCATTTTGAGACAGCTGAAGAGAATATAGCAGTGATTCTGCTGTAAGAAAGCATTCCTCTTCTGGAGACCAGTTCAGCCAGATGATAGATGGCCTTGTAGACAAGATACACTTGGATAAGGGTCAGGATTCAGTTTCTAGCTGTGCTACAGATTTGCTCTCTGGAGCTTGGCTAAGTTGTTCAGTCAGTTCAGGCCTCACGTTAATTCCCTGTGTTTGTAATACTGATAATAGTACTCCCCTCGTTCATAGGAAAGTTCTGTGGATAAATACATTAAATGCTTATGTGGTTCTGAGACGTTATAGTGAGAAGAAGAAAATGGTTATGCAAACCATGAAGTGAAGCAGTATTCAGGACTGGGCTTTACTTTGTAAAGCAAGGCTATATTAATGGGTAATTCAAACCCATCCTCATAGATGTTCATTATGAAACAACTCTCTCTCCAAATGAAGTGTCCAATCTACTGGTAGACAATAGCTGAGAGCGAGAAGCTCAATGAAATACGTTAACAGCAGGGCTTGGCACCAGAAACAGTCAGCAGAGAAACTATGCTAATGCAGTTACTGTTGTCTCCGGTTGCTGCAGAGAACTGGGAATTTGTTAATTCACATTAATGAATGCGAATGTGTAGATTTGGTGTCAAGATTTGGCAAAAAGATGGGTGCAATAAAGAACAATTTAGGTTGCAGACTGGTATTCTAAAAGGTACCAGTCTGCCTACTGACACCTCGCTATTTATGACATATCTGGGAATTAGTTCTGGTCTTTGGACTCATTAAGAATATTTTACATGAAAAGTATTTAAATACAGCTGAACACGGTGACTTACTGCTAATGCAGTTTCTTTGGGGGAAAGGAGAAGTTTCAACCTTATGAAATAGCTGCATACATACCAACCAAATTCCTCCCTCGGCCGGACAGGGCAGTGAGTGCACCGACAGGCCTCTCCCTGACCTGTCTCACCTGGGGCCCACACCCTTGGCCCATGGGCCTTAGTTTCTGCCTGGGCTGCATTGCAGGTGTACCTGCCTCCAGCTGTGGACGTGTCTGGCCATGGAGCAGCACCCTGGCCTGGCCTCCTGACCATGGCCTTGCTCGGCCATGGCCCTGCCCGGCCACACCTTGAGCTCTGTCTCACCTTGGTTCCCCTCACCAGGCCTGATCCTCAACCCCAGCTGGCCTGGCCGCAGCCCATCCCTATCCTTGTCCCCAGGGAGGTGCCCAGTGCTTAGCGCTGGGGCCACCCAACTCCAACCTGCTGACCCTGCTCATGGGGACACCCGGAGGCTCGGGGTCCCCTGGGAGCAACTGGTCCCTGGGGCACCCTGCCAGTTCTCTCAGGCTGTCTCAAGCCCTAAACCAGCACCACAGAGCCAGGCCCAATGGCTGCACTGGGCTTTGCCCTGGCCTGGCTCTGGGCTCTGACCTTCCCGCAGCACTGACCCCTACCTAAACCCAAGCTTCTGAGTGAACCCCTCTTCTGACAGGCTTCAGGGCTCTTCAGGGGGCACCTGAGAATCATAGAATGGTTTGGGTTGGAAGGGACCTGCAAGAGCATCCCCTTCCAACCCTGCCGCCATACCTTCCACAAGATCAGGTTGCTCAAAGCCCCATCCAGCCTGGCCCTGATTACTTCCAGGGATTGAAGTGCCCACAACTTCCCTGAGCAACCTGTTCCAGTGCCTTACCACCCTCATAGTGAAAAATTTAGTCCTAATATCTAGTCTAAATCTACCTTCTTTCAGTTTAAAACCTTTACCCCTCGTCCTATCGCTCCACTCCCTGATAGAGTCCCTCCCCATCTCTCCTGTAGGTACTGAAAGGCCACTATAAGCTCTCCCCAGAGCCTTCTCTTCTCCAGGCTGAACAACCCCAGCTCTCTCAGTCTGTCCTCATAGGAGAGGTGCTCCATCCCTCTGATCATCTTCATGGCCCTCCTCTGGACCTGCTCCAAAAGGTCCATGTCCTTGTGACTCCAGAGCTGGACACAGCACTCCAGGTGGGGTCTCACGAGAGCAGAGTAGAGGGGCAGAATCACCTCCCATGACCTGCTGGCCACGCTTCTTTTGATGCAGCCCAGGATGTGTTTGGCTTTCTGGGCCCTTTGCCCCCACCCCAATAAGCCTTCCAAGCCTCTGGGGCTACTCAGGGTCTGCCTGAGCCCCCCACCTGGTTCCAGTCCCCCCCACCATGTCTCTTTCCTATCTCCCTATCCCTGCCCTGGCTCTGTGACCCCTGAAGTGCCCCTCACAGCCCACAGCAATTAAATCTCTCTTCAACAAGTTCCATCTGAGCCCAGACCTCTGCCAGGTGGGAGGACACATGCCTCTGGGGGATGGCTGCCATCAGGGCACTGAGGTCAGGAGTGGCCTTGCTGGCCCTTTCCAGCCTCACCAGATGCCTCTTCCCCTCCACACCTGCCCTTGGGATCCATCTCAGCTCAGGCCATGGCCCCCAGTTCCTGGCTGAGCTACCCCGAGCTGTGACCATCTCCTGTCACACTGCAGCTGTGCCAAGCCATGGACTTCACTAATCTGGACCCTGAACTGTGGGCTGACAGCCCAGGTATATCTGGGTCCGACTTCATCACCATGGACAGGCTGGCAGCCACTGGGCTGTGTCTGACTCTGGTCCTTGTCACTGGGCCAGAGCCTGCCCTCAAAGTTGTCTTCTCACCATGACCTTGTCTGGCAACCTTCTCGGTTGACGCTGGCTGCCACCCCCAGACCTGCCCTGCCAGCCGTGCTGTCGGCTCCTGGCTCCCCAGCCCTCCCTGCGCCCCTGACAGTGCCCCTGGTGTCACCGAGAGGGTGAACTGCAGCTTGCTAAAACATGATTTTCTGGGATTTTCATCTTTACAGTTGAGCTAGTGCAGCACAAATAGAGTTGATACAAGAAGAGGAGCGAGGAGCCTTTTGACTCTAAAAACTACTTCAGTACAGCCCCTGCAAGGTCATGTCTACATGTGCACTGCTGTGCTGAGCAGGGCACTCACTTAAGCACTGAACCCACAGAGCTAAGTGGGAGCTGTGATCATTATCCCTGGGCTACAGGGGATATCAGCTTCAGCAGCCCTGCAGCTCCCTACAGACCACATTGTCCAGCCTACACTGTTGTGCACAGATGTTATCCACGTTGTCTCGTGGAGCTGCAGTGTGCTCCACAGAGCAGCCCAGACTTACTCTTTGTACCCTTACTTCTCTGCCTTTCATATGGGCAATCACAATCATGGATGCATTTTTGAAACTTCAGCAGTTACTCCCGGAACAGAAATCATGTGTGGAAAGAATGAAATGGAGATAGGCGAAGGGAGGCAACCTTGGTAGGGAATAGCTGAAATAGATACCAAGCAATTTTCGTTGTAGTATTTGACTCTAGTGAGAAATGTAAAGGAGTTTTGGCACCAGCTCCAAAGGTTATGCAGTAGTTACATTAAACAAGTAGTAATTAGGAAAGAAGCCCAAAGCACTTACACATATACTCACATGTTCTCTGGTTGCCACATCAATTCCCAGCAGTTCTAAGGCCTACAAGGAAATAACAGACATTCAAGACTTGCTTCTGGTTTTTAATTCCCTGCAGAGTTACTCAGTAGCATAAAGGATGGAATAAGAGTTGATTCAGCATACTGTTTTCTACTCATTTTATAGAAAATGTAACACATGTTATGAAACTTTTTATTGATTTTTTTTTTCTGCTTCCTCTGCTCCACAAACAATGTAAAGAATTACAGAGCAGGGTGTGTGGAGCAGTAAAGAAATGCACACGCTGTACATCTGGGGTTTTAACAGTGCTGCTGAGTAGTGTGTGTTTAGAACACAAATTCTGAACCGAACTTCCAATTTCACTGGAAACCACACATTTAAAAAAAAAAAGTCCATTCATATTTCATGCTAAATATTGGCTGCCTTGCTTATGCAGGCATTACAGTTCTTTTATGTATTTTTTTTTTTAGAAACAAACTATTTCTTAAAACTTAAGGGAATACAGGTGCAGAATGTGTGTAAAGGTCCTGTAGCAAATACATTTAATGGCACCTGAATAACTAGTTCAACCTGAACTCCAAATATGTGAAGGAACAGTATCAACATTACACTACAGTATTGACTGAAGTCACTGTATTATTAATGAAATAAAATAAAAAAAACCTCCCCAACCTTTGAAATGGTTGCATGTTCCATCTGGACCTGCATATCCTCATCTGGAAAAGCTGGCTTCTTAATCCACAAGGGTTTAAACTCAGCTGGTTTAGTAACCCATTCTATGGCTTCCTTTATTTCCCATTGTTGGTTTGCATCCAGCACCTGGGAATAAGGAAAATAAGAGTCAAATACACTGAAGGATTCTATTGACTTTTTTTTTTTTCCCTGTCAAACTCTCAGAAGAGCTGCAAAATTGATATGAAGTGAAAGAAATTCAGGAAATAGAAAGGAAACCAAAAGCTGGAATTGCCATTCTTTCTGTAGTGTGCTTTTGACCACACTTACACTGAGTTGCAATGACTATAGCAATATCCAGACTAGGTTTGAACCAAACGGATCAGGAGCTGTAGGAAGTAGAACAGTCTTTTGTGAGAATATCTTGACAGCATATACTTGAGTAAAGCCCCCTAAAACATGGACATGGCTACCTGAAACTTTCAGCAGAAAAGCTTCTTGACAGAAAAATGCAGTAGTTTAAATGAGTATCTCAAACAGCACTTCTCTCCCACACAAGGGAGAATTTTTCTCTCTATGAAAAGGGAAACACCTGAAAATGACACCGTAGTTCTTTTGCAGCCTCTTCAGGTCCTTGCCATCCTGTATTCACAGAGTTCTTTGTTTGGCTTGTCATGATATATGGCATTCCACTGCATCCTACTGCAGCAACCAGAGTTGGTGTGTCATGGAACACATGGGGCAAAGAATCTAGCCCATAGCAGTCAACAGAGTAACATTTCCAAATCAAAACGTGTGACTTCCATCTAATTATTCCCTTTTATCCAAGTATTTTAGTTTGAAAAACTTATTTTCCAGTTTATTTTTGGCCAAATATTGCTGGAAAAATATTAATGGGCTTTTCTCCGGAGGCCTCCCTGGATATAAAAGGCACTTTAAATCTTCTAGAAGACAATCCTGGAAGTGGGTTTCCCCCACAGACTTGACTGGAAGTTCTGGCACAGAAATACAGGATGAAATTCTTAGTAATACATCTTTGGTTATGTCAAATACTGCTCTGTTGATATATATCAACATTTGTTGCCATCATTATTCAGGATTTGAAGAAGGAAGAAAAAAATATTCCTCAAGGACCTTATATAATGAGAGATATTTCATCTAATGGTTTAAAATAGAAAATAACAGAGTTTAGTAGCAAAAAGTGATATTCACTGTTATTTTGTTTGGGCCAATATTTTTTCTTACAAATCTGCATCTGCAAATATCATCCTGCAGATCTGCACTCACCTTTACTTTGAACCTAGATGCATATTTGGAACAAGCTATAGATCACTTCTGAATGATTAATGCAGCTGTGAACTGGAATCCATAAACTAGAATTTACAATTTCAGCATCACTATCTTACAGAAAGAACTTCCTTATTACTTCTCTTCCCTTGTGAGTAAGCTCTGTCCTACTCTGAAAACAAAACAGCAATGTTTTTTTCTCTTCAATTGTGATCAGCCCTCAGCTTTGCCACACCGTTGCTGCTTTCCCTGCAATGCAGCATTATGCAGTAGTAGAAGGGGGAAGTCTGAGAGAAATACAGAAGCAAAGTCATCACTGCCCATATCATAGACCTGAAAGAGTTAGACTGGATCTAGTCCATCTCTTCAAACTTAAAACACAGAAGAATAACAATGAATACAAGTGTTTATTATACATTGTCCAGCCTTCTCTCAAGGCCTGTGTATGTAACTGCAAGCAAAGTCACATCAATTATACACAGAATCATAGAACATCTTGAGCTGGAAGGGACCCATAAGGATCATCAAGTCCAATTCCCTGCTTCTTGCACGACTAACACTAAATCATATGACTAAGAGTTTCCTCCAAATAACTCTACCACACTGCATCTAGAACAATATTAATTTACCCATTTTCAGAATAAGAATAAGCTTTTTATTTCTTGCCAAGAGGTAGCAGAAAACCGTCAGAAAATGAGATCAGACATATGAAAAACATCCAGGTGAACCAAACTCCTCAACCCAGCTAAGTGTAACATATGACAAATTTTTCTAAACCAGGTATGAACATCCCATGACTTGGCAACACTATTTCTAGGTATACCAAGGTGTTTATTTCCCAGAATATAAATCCCAGCTGTATTAACTAAATCTGACACCAGTAAACTGTGAAAAGCTTTCACAGAAAGCCAAGCACATGCAACTCTTTCTGGCAAAAAGGATGCTGCTTTACGAAGGAAGCTAACAGTTCTGCTGACAGTTTTAGAGTATCCCTCAAAGCCAAGGCAACCAGAAGTTCTAGAAGAAACCAGCAATTAACAAACTGTCGGGGCTCATGTTGTCTGTGAAGGAGACATCCCCATTTTTCATCTATGAAGTTACTGCAAACTGAACTGCTTCTGAACACAGCTGTCCAAGCATAGACTTCATGTGTCTTTATTAACACTCTTAATGACCACACTTTTGGTTAATTCATATTACTCTCCTGAGTATCCCTAAATGCATATGCTCCTTGCTTAAACCAACACAGCTGCGCCCATGCAAACTCCCTGTTATGCACAGTATACCAACATAAAGAGACTTCCATTTCTATCTTAATACCTTATTCTCAATACTCATATTCCTTAGGTATATCCTTGATCCTAGACAGGACTGCCTTACAGGCAAAATTGCTTAAATGGCATTGGGCCTCCCAAAATAGATCTGTGATGTTACATTTTCACTCAGTCAGCCAAACTTGTAGTGTTTAGGAGCAAGCAGTGAGAATTGTCCATTGTCTGTTAGCATTTCCCCACTTCACGTAATCTTACTATTGTAATGACTGTAATGATCATTACATCATAATAATGTAAATATTGTAATGATCTTACTATTGTAAGATCAAACATTCAGACCTGTTTTAACTGCTGATCTGAGTAGCCCAGCCAGGATTGGGATCCTGTATAAGCCAGATATTTGTGCTTCAACTTTTGCTGTTCTGAAGCAGATGAGGACGGTTTCAAGTCAAGCTGTGTTTCAGTAAACAGAGGATTATTTTGTTAAATAGTGCAGCAGAGAATGTTCTGTGGGGAAACTGAAGGATTGGAGGTGTTTTGACTTCTTTTTTTCCTTGAAAGCCGTAATTTTTATCAAATAGATCAATTTTGCTGAATAAGTCCTTCCTTTTTCTCCGTAGCCATTTCATTGCAAGAGAACTGCAAACCAGAAGCAGCAGAGAACAGCTCGATTTCCTTGCAAACCCAACTCAAAGAGTTTTATAGCAGAAAGTTACCCATGTAGCACAAACTGAATGTCTGACTTTGCACTCCTGGCACGCATGAGAAGATGTTAGCAAACGACAGACTTCATCTCACACCGTTCCCTTCCCAGTCTCTAAGAGATGCAGAGTACAGATCTGTTTAAGCTCACCCTTTTCCTTTTTCCCAGGCAGGCCATTTTAGAGTATTTCTGGAGGGGAACAAGCATAAATATCAAATTACACCAAACAACAACTTTTTCTTACCCTCCAGATTTCATCGTTGCCTGTCCTAGCCTCACAGGCTGGTGGTGTATTCCCCAATGAGCTACTCCCACCAAAACTGATGAGACAACTGAAGGATTAGGAAGATGGAGGGTACCAAAGTCCAGCTTTGAAGGAAAGATGTTTTGCCATAAGCTTCTTTGTCTGTTAGCACATCTGTAATATACCTGAAATCCATGCAGAGCAGAAATTGTTTGGCAACCTGACTGAAGGATGACATACAAAATCAAAAAGCATAACATAATAAAACAGTATGATGAAAAAAAGGATTAAGAAATGCTAGTCACTTGAAGAATGACTGTCAGTCTTCCCCCTATTTCTCTGAAGCAAGCGGGAAGCTGAGACAGCAGATATTCTAAACCTTTCCCCCAACAGCCTCCTCAGCCTGTGTTGCACTGCCAAACGTGTGTGTGCTGTGAGTAGTTGAAAATAAGCCCTTTTCAGTTTCCTTTTAAACTCTGTCCAAGCAAGAGTGAAAAATTAAACAGGAAAGCCAAGTCACACTTCTCAGCTGTCAAATTAAGTCGGAAAAGCACCCCTGTTGTCACACCTTCTGTTCTCAGGGGGAAAATAAACAGATTCTTTTAGAACAGGCTCTTTTAGATCTTAAAACTGAACAGAATTGCCCCCAAATGACTGATCACGTCAGAAAACGGATCAACACACAAAGTCCAAGCATTTGCTCGCAGACCATGGTAGCATATGCAGTTCAATTTTAGTTTTTAGTTTTCAGTAGTTCATTTCGTTTTCACTAAGGAGTTAATTTTTGGGGGAAAAAGAAAAAGCCCCCAGCAATTACAAAAACAGTAAATCAACCCCCCAGTTATCCAGACTTGAATAAAAGCAGTTCCTCTGCCAAATCTTAAACAAAGACCTACAGATTAAAGCGCAATCTTTATGTACAGAGCTTCCTATTAGCAGCAGGCGTCAGGTCCCACTGCCAGCTCTGACGCCAGAGCCGGACAAGACAAGCTGTACAGCTCCCCTGGCAGAGGGGCTGGTGTGAGTAAGGGTAGACACGTGAAGAGGGCAAGTTGGGAGGGGAGGATGCCTCTGAGCAGAAAGTTGCACAGCTTCTGTCTGAAACGAGCTGTTAAGTTTATTCTAGTTTGGACACTGCCTACTTTTCTGATACAATTAAAAACAATAGGGCGCCGGTGCCTTTGGACTGGAAATATAATGAGTCTTCCTTACCATGTTGACTAGTAATTTCCACAAAAACTAGAAAAGAAAACGAATTAAATAACTGGAACCATGTGGATGCCATAAAAGAGATAACGCAGAGATGTTTTTTCTTTATGAGGAAGTGTCATGAAGTGCAAGTATGTTTACATTTGTCATACAGAATTAATTACTGACACCAGAGCAATGTGGTTCTCAACCCCAGGCAAGAACATTTAACACTTTCCCCTGAAAGTCATTAAGGATTGAGGATCCTTCTTAACCCAGTTTCATTATAGAAGCAATATTGGTGGGGTGATTATTAGAAAAAAAAAAAAAAAAAAAAACACCACCCTCAGCCTGGAGTCACTACAGGAAAAGTGGAGCAGCTCCAGGTTTACTTACCTGAGTGACTGAGACCCAACTTTGACGCATTTGAGTTGTCTCAGTCCAAACAATTTCAAACCCCAAAATGTTCTCCTTCATGAAATATCTGAAGAAAAAAAAAAAAAAAAAAAAAAAAAGCCTCATACCAACTATCTGAATTGGTGACCTTCCCTCCAGCCCCCTCACTTGCTAGAAATTGTCATCATACAAATTACCCTTTCAACATACAAGATGTCTCTTTGTGAATTTTTTGATGAGTGTCTTTTTTGGGCTGTATTAAGGTCTTGGACTTTGGCAAGCTGAAGGTTGCTGGTTGCTTTCACAAGCAATGATGCGTGAGGGCTCAATCCAGCAGAGCAGAAGTGAGGAAAAGAGTGGATGCTGGCAGGCCTGAGCTGGTGGGACTCAAGCCCAGGGTCTCCTGCAAGCTCTTCAGTCAGGGCAGTGCGGTGGCATGTCCCAAACCACATGGTACTTGAGCGTGCACAACGGCAACTCCAGTTGGTGGTAGCTACAGGTTTTTGCTCTTTCTATCCTCTTAAATCAGAAAGTCTGCATACAGCAAGCATGTCTGACTGTGCTTGTCAGGATATGGCCACAGCAACATTGTACCAGGCATTATTTGCCCTCCTGTAGGGGTTTGAAGTGCTAGCTCTGGACTAACACTCCACCATTCCAAGGATTTTAAGTTCACAGAGCAAAAGGCCAATTTCTGTCACAACCTAAAGGGTTACCTGGCCTACAGGTGTGGAGAGATCCCAACCATGGGTTTGTAGGATTCTGTAGTATGTAAGCACATGGAAGCTTTATCTTCTATATTTTTCTACCACAAATAACACAAAAATCACCACAAGCAAGTATCCTACCAGAAAAATAGCCACTACCAAACACACCTATGATTCATAAAATGAATATGAATGAATAGATAGCAAGCTACTACAAATTACTATAAGCAATCTATATGCTTGTAGTAATTGCTACAGTGATTACTGTATTACTAAAATCTATATTTTACTATTACTATAGTAATAGTAAAATTTAGCAATTTTAGTAAAATATAGATTACTACAATTGCTAAAGTGATTACTGTCAATCAATAGTAATATCAAACAGTATTGCAGTAGAAGACAAGTAGCTATATACTATTATAGTATACTACAGCCTATAATTAATTAACCAAATTTATCAACAATATAACAGCAGATATATTTATGATATATTACTTATATGAATATATATAATATCGATATGAAGTGAATTAGACACATTTCAGAAGGGGCCAAACCATCCCAGAAGTGGGGAACAAACAGATGCCAGAGGGAGACCAGCCATCCCCAAAAGAAGGGAGGACAGACCAAGCTAGTAAGACAGTGAGCAGAGTCCCACTTCCAAAATGATCTGCATCACAGCTTCTGGTTTCAGCTAGGCATCACTGGGAAGAGACCAAGAGCTCACAGAAAATTTGTGTGGGATTCAACTGGGAAGTTCTCATAAAAAAAAGAAGCTTTTTTTAATATCTCAGAGACATAAGAGGGAATAGGATATTGAACAGCCAATAGATGCTGTTAATTTCTATTTTTCACCTGTAACAGCCAATAGATGATGTCGGTTTCTGTCCCTTCAGAGCAATTTTATTCTTCAGACTGTTTTCCACCTTCTCAGATGAAAAATTGCTGTTACAGTCCCTTGTTTTGCACTTATCTGTGGATGTCTCTGTTTTCTAGATACCCTGGTTGCACTTCAAAGAAGCCAGCTGCACTTTTCAAGGATGGTTTTTTATGGTTGATAGGGTTAATCTCCAGGCTTGAAGCCCTTTCTGTGTCAGTATTTTTGAGTAGATAACATCTTTTGTTCAGTTATTCCCCCTTCTAACCAGGCCACCTTTATGGCTGCTCGCTTTGCTGCCGAAATAGACTATTTTTAATATCTAGTAACATGCTAAGTATAAATTATTTGGATCCCAGACCAATAGCATATTCAGTAGGGAAGTAGGAAGTAAGATTAAAATCTCAGATTAAAATCTCCAAGTACAAAAGATGAAATCAAGAGAAGGGCATACAGAGAAACATCTGATAAGCAGGGCTAGGTAAAAATCTTTCAGAAATGTCAGAGCTCCAATAAAATGACTCTGAAATATTCTGACCAATTCCACCACTAAGCACTGTGCTGTTGCTACAATTTTCCATCCTGCAAAAATTATGTATGTGCAGAGTCACCAAGAACTTGGTAATGTCTGTACTTTGACATTTTAAAGCTAAAACATATGTATAAATTACTGCAAAATCATGACCAGATGTGCAAATGAGGGCAACCAGGAGCAGGGAATCTCTCTGAATTAATGAGCGTTTCTATATTGAGATCCCATGAGCTTTCCCTCTCCTTTGGCCCACAGACCATACAGGACAGCAGCTATGGCCAAGGGCTCAGCTCCTTTCTCTGGTCCAATCTGTTGAGCAAACAAATGTACATCCACCAGTGTCACCCACGGTGGTTTGATACTCACCAATGTCTCAGTTTCTGTTAAGTGGTATTTTGTTTGCCAGAGACTGAAAGACAGCACTGCTGGTAACACAGCAAGGGGAGAAGTCACTGGTACTGCAAAAAAGGAGGAATCTATATTGGTTAAAAGTTACAAAAGAAGCAGACGCTGAAATGTAAGACATGAATCAAATAACCACCTAGAAATCAATGAGTGGTCACTTTCACACTGGCTTGCCTTAGCACCAGATACATTCCCAAGATGAAAAATGGAAATATTTTGTGAAAATGCACAATATATGTTTGTTACTACCCTTTTCACAACAGCACCCCCAGTGAGTCTTACCCAGCAGAGTTACATGCCACCAATGAGTGCTCTGTAGAAGCCTCCAAAGTTGTTGACAATTTCTCCCATGTCTCTATTGAAAGCAAGCCTCGAGAGCACATATGACTGCAAAGCACAGTACAATTTACTGCCTCATTACAGCCAAATGGCTGTAACAGAATGACTGTGGGTCCTTTCCTCAGCTGATACTTTGAGAAGTAATCTTTTCTGACAGCCTGTAGATCTGAAATATCAGCACGGAACCATTCACTTTGCACCCAGATCTGGGCGGCCACTGTCAATTTAGTTGTGTGGCCATGTTTCATCTTATACTTACCTGTTTCCAGATGTTGACCCCTTCCTCAAAAAAAAATTAATAATTACGAAGGGCTTTTAAGATGAAGAGTTGCTCCTGTATCACCTCCCACTCCAAAGAAGAGGAAAACAGCCACCCTAGACTGACAGCCCAGAACACTGTTAAAGAGACAGAGGCCATCAGATCACATCTCTGAGGAAAACAGCGTTTCTGTAAATGAGAGAGCCTTCGTATACCATCCCTTTCAAGCAACTGCTGCATCTAACAGACTTATTTTGGCAATTGCAGTCACATTCAAGTTCTCATTTCTTCATAAGGCATTCTGTTTCTGGCAGTGGGATCATGGCAGTTGTGGTCCAGCTGTTTCAAATTCCCAAGACTAAGGGCTGAGGCTGAATTCTGTTTTTTTCCCAGTCCCACATACCACTACTCAACGTCAACTTATATTCCCAGCAAGGGTTTTGTTAGGGAAAACCACAGGCAAATCAGGTCTAGCAAACTGCAGAGTGTCAGAGAAAGGACAGACACAGTATGAAGCCTCGTGCCTACTGTCATTTTGTTTAGCAGCATGGAATAAAGAGAGTCTTAACAAATATGAGACCGTGAGTCTGATTCTGTGAGGTCTCTCCTGTTCAGGGTATTTGCCCGAGATCTGAGAAACCAACGTCTGAACCTCAGTTTTGTAAGAACCTTTTTGTGTGATTCTGGGCAAGACATTTTACTTGCCTCTGTCTCAGTTCCTCTGCTGTTCCTACCTGCAGTGTGGGAAGAACATCCCATCCCACTTTCCTTGGATGTGATGAATCATGTACTACAGTGGCTGAGGTCATTTATGTATCTAGGCAGGTTACACCAAGCACATTTCACTCATGGTGACAGAAGGCTTATATCTTATATTATAGCAGACCAGGTGATACACAGACTCCAATCTTAGGCTGACTAAAGATAATGGTTTATCCTTAAAGAAGCTTAAAATAACTGAGCATGTACTTGCCAGATTGCTAAGTGATTTTTTAAAAAAATGTAGACGTTTCTGTAAGAAACAATTTTAAAGGTAGATTGAAGGAGGAAAAAGCATGATATCATCAAGTCACAGGTTTTGTGGGTGTTCAGCTGATTGCTTAAAGGGTTTTGCCACATTCAGCAGTGTCAGTGAAACACCAGACTGGAGTGGCAAAGAAGGAGCTGCTCATTCCATGGTCTAGGGCACCAACTGGATTAAAGGGCACTAGAAAGACCTTCTAAAGCACAGCTGCAAACCAATTACCTGTTAAAGTTACATCTTGTACAAGAAGAGAGCAATGAGAACTAGAGAGAAACTCTCTCATGTGCTCACATCCCAGTCGCATTTTGTCGTAACAAACTGCTTTGCCTAACAAAAGCCTCTTGCCTGCCTGGCCGTGCTTACCATGGTGTCCAAGATGCGGCAGCCCAGCAAGCTGGGGAAGCAGATGCTGCCGACGGTCGCTGCCATGCCCTCCAGACCTTGGAGGCTGAGGTCATGTGTTTACCCATGCATGGGCTGTCTGCATGGTGGATAGCTGCTCCCCAGGGCCACCTGGGCTAGCTCCAGGCCGAGCATGCCAAGGGCTGGCATGGTTTTCCACCACAAGCTCCATGCTGTCCTCACATAGTGGTTGATATGCCAGCTCTGTGGCAGCCAAGTTGCTGTGTGGGGCTCACAGGCTTTACCCAGGTTTTTCCATTTTTTTTTTGGAGTAGCTCAGGTGTCGCTCATGGGGCATAATGGGAAATCACAGCAGGTTTTTCTTAGAAAATCATCTCTCCAAGCTGAAGACCAGGAGCTAAGGCTGGTAGGTGAATATTAAAAGCTGCCCATCTGAAGGGAAATTCCCAGTAGACCAAATGCTGGATCCTGTCTGCTGCTCCGTCATGGTCTTTAGCTTGATCCTGGATGAGGCAAAATACCTCTTCTTCCCTTGCCTTAATTTGCCATCCAGAGATACTAAAGCTGATCTCATTTGTGAAGTGTTTGAGAGTGAGGAATGCTATATATTAGGTAACAAGGGTTGTTGGGTAAGACGGCAGATGCCTTGGAAACCCTGAAGAGAAATGCTGCCTATCAGTAGATTTCTGCCTATTGCCTCACATAACCGTGTCTGTTTCGGGATGAGGAACAAATGTGGATTGTCCTATTTTGCTGATACACCAAAAGCATTCACCCAAGGCAGGCTGGCCTGTCAAGGTGGGTGCGTATCCTGCTATCTTCCTGAATGCCATTTGTCATCCCCAGGCTGCAGAGGGGGTCATTCCTTCTCACCTTAATGATCAATTGGACTCAGGGGGCTTATCTATTGCTAAGTACATGCTCACTTGCTCTTCAAAGCACTTAGTAGCAGTCTCAAAAGGCTGGGGCTGTTCTAATGACAGTGGTGCCAGATATTATCCTTAGCCTATTAATAACCTACTTATTATAACCTTAAACCCACTGAAGGTATTGATTGGACTTCAGTTTCCTATGGAAAAAAATCTCCCCTTGCAAATGGTAGTCCTTTGATTCAAGCAGCAAGAAGATTTAAAGCACAGATTTGGATGCAGTCACCTTAACAAATAACACCAAATTAAAATGTAAATACAGAAACGATTCCTATTGTTCTTGCAGTCTATTAGCACAAAGAAAAGAATACATATTTACACTAGTCATAGGCCAATTTGAAAGATGGAGCCATTGCAGCAGTGACGAGGGTAACGCAGAACGAAATCAAAGCTCCAGTGAAACTGATTCGTATCTGACCGTGCTATAATAACACTGCTCACTTTGCCAGGCACCTTCCATTTAAAAAAGAAAATAAAAAAAAAGAGATGGTACATAAGGCTGCTAAAGGGTTCTAATCTTTAATTCTGTGCATTCTCATATGTGTTAATGAGAATGATTAGCCACATGATGGAGAAATAAACATCAGTTGTGGTGAAAAGCGGGCACTTAGAACTGAGAGGAGAGGAAGGTGGGTAGAGGGATGTAAGTCAACTAGTCACCAGCTTCCAACTGTTAGAAATGTGAGCCAACGCTCCTGCCTTTTCTTGGGAACTCTTCAGAAGGACAGAACCACAGACCTGGGCTCCTTGGTAGGCCTGAGCAGGGAATGCTGTCTATCATGGGCATTGGCTGTTTGACAACACACCTTGAGCATCTCTGTCAGCGGAGTATTCCACACCTGTGGGAGGACCAGGGACCCCTCCTCACTATTTTCATAATAAAGCAGTTGAATGATTAGATGTTCTCCTTATTTGTGCCACTTTTATCATAGGAGTCATGCTGAACTGAGATTTATCCCTTTTTGGTTTTGAAAGAGCAGAAATGCCTCCTTACCCAGCAAATACAACCCTGGCTCTTCCAAACACTGAAGCTGAGAGGAGGATCATCAGCCACGGAGCCCCCAGGAGGCTGCCCCAGATGTGAGTAACTGTGGAGGTACTGAATGAAGGGTGAACACAGCAGCTGGTGCCTGTTGAGGTTCAGGAAAGAAGTGAGCAGTTAGTACGCATGGGGTGGATTTTCAGGCACAGATCTACCCATTTCCCAGTATGTACTTCTCAGCAGCCTCAGCTGAGGGCTCAATAACCCACCAGCAGGACACAAAGGAGCAGCATAAGGTGCTCCCACTGCGAGTAGCTTTTGGATAAAAGAAGGAATGCTTGCAGAGCGGCCAGCTTCGGTGTTGATACACAACTGATTTGTCAAGAGTGCTTGTATTCAGGTTTCCCTTTTAAATTTCCAGTCTGTTCCTCAGACCCTGCTGAGTTTAACTAGGGAACTGTCCCCTCTCCCTTAAGACAAAAGCAACATGATGGCTAACACATGTTCTACTCACTTGAGGTAAATGAAATACTAAGAGAAGATGGACAATATTCTGTGAAAGTACACAGTGCTATGAGTACTTTAATCCCCCAACAACAGTGGTTATTACAATTTGACAAAAAATATGCCTTTAAATTAAATAAGAATGTTAAAAAAAATCCCAAAAACAAATGTGCTACCTACAAGAAGCACATTTGCATGTAGAACTGACAGGGAAAAGAAGTTCAAAGAGCAGGACCAGTAAAGAACACAGGTAATGCCTGAACTCTGTTCAGATTCCTAGGCCTGCCGTACCCACATGGAAAGGAGGGAAACCCAACATAAAATCCTGCATCCACATACACCCTCTAGGAAGGAAATCCTAAGCTGCTTGCCAGAGTGTCTGAAATGCCACCACTCTGGGGCTGAGCTCCAGAGGTAAGCACCCCCGTCAGTCTGGGATCCGAGGATCAGTGTCCATCCCAAATCAGTTATGCAAATTTAGTCTTAAATTCCTTAGCAAGGTGTGAGAATTTGAATCTCCTGTTTGCAATGAACTGCTTACCCCGAGTGCTCCTGTGCTTTAAACCCAACATAACTGAGGTAGCTCCGAGTCCTGTGTGTTGGGGGAAAGTTGGCACAAATACAAACATCTACAGCATCTTTACAGAAAATGTAAAATCTGAGAAGTTTATTGGATTGAATAGATCAAAATAAATAACAGAAGTGGGGGCTTATGAATTTTAGTTGTTTTATATTCATTTATACTCATTCCAGCTGTGGGTAATGTGTTTTAGAAGCAGGAGGATTGTAGATGACTATGTGTAAGCCAGCATTCTGGCTTGTTTCTACCCATTAGCAAACTCTGGGATGTGGGGAGTGAGGAACTGTGGAGATGCTGCTGAGCAAGAGCTCGGCAGGTGTTCTTGCAGTGATGGGAAGGAAGCCTTGAGAACAGTAAACAATGTCCTTCTATGATAATGTGAAGGCAAGGAAATAGACAGCAAGCTAACAAATAGATAACAATATACCAAAACAAATAATAATGACTAATTAGCCTAGGCACATGAACGCTTTTATGTAGCCAATTTTATTGCTCATAACAGCACGTGGACAGGCCCCCACAACCTGTCTGTGCAGAGAGCACAGCACATGGTCAAAAGAGAGAAACTATATATGCTGTAAAAATAAAACATTAAACGTCTTTGCTTCACCACTTGGTGGAGTCCATGCCTTTGTTGCCCCACTAGGAGACTTTTTTTTTTGGTTAAGAAAAAAAACCAAAACCAAAACCACGAAACACACCTTTCCAAGACTACTTTTCGGTGGTAAGAACTACTCACAACCCTAGTGAAATGACAATTCAGAGGCTGCAAGGATAAGAACACATAAGGTTCTTTTCATAATGCTTTACGCCGAAATAGGGATGTATTTTACCTAAATAGTAGGATTGCACACATTTTTATGTTTCGAAGTTTACTCAGAAATATTATGAAAATATTCTTAAAATACTACAGTTTGAAACAACACAGGACAGAGACAGTCTGCAGGCCTGGCACGCAGAATGGGCATCACATGGACAATGGGGAGAGCAGAGATTAGCAGAAATTACATGATTATTGTCATTAAAAATAATGAAACATTAATTACATTACAGGAAATACTAAAAATACAGAAATCTTTGCGGTTCGTAGGTTCTGTAAGAATGGTTTTTAGTGCCATATTAGTTATTATTGAAACTCAAACAGTACCAGCTCCTGTAATCTACAGCTGCACTGCACATACATGTCAGGATTTGTGGTTTGAGTTGTAGTGGGCACCGAGACAGGTAACATTCAGTGTAATTGAGATAAAACACCAGCTGTCACAAGAACAAACGCATGAAATTCCCTGAAAAATTGCACCGAAGTCAACAGTGGCTGGAAAAAACACAGATAAAGCAACAGAGAGGAAATGTGTTTGACCTACAGTGAGGCAGTGAGCGCCAGCTGAGCATTGGATTTGCCCTCACAAGAATCCCAAGTCTGTCTGTCTGTCTGTCCATCAAGGGGGTTAGTTTTAAGCCTAAACAGAAGTGTTCTAGCCTACTCCTGCCAAGGACTTCTGAACTGACTGAAAAATTGACTCCCTTTTCACAGCAGTAACGCACCATGAACTCAGCGTCTTGTATCAAAGTACATCAAAATAGTTTACGGAGGATAAAGATACACCCAAAACTCGGGAAGGTTTTATTACCCTCCTTTTCCCCTCAATATGGAGGCTACTCTGCTTTTGTCCCCCTCCCCTGCTGCCTGGTTTGCCAGGATCGATGAGATCTCCACGTTGGCCGCCGGAGCGCAGGCGCTGGGAGGGATGCAGATGGGCTTGAGGCACCTCCTTCCATCTCCCCATCCCACACCCTGCACCCCAAAACCTTCTCTTCGTATTTGGGTGCCAGCTCTGGGGGTGCATGGCTCGAGGAGGTGACACCCTCACATGGTGCTCCATCATCCGGGTGGGAATCTCCTTCCCCTCCACTCTCCCAAGCCCTGAAAAAGGAAGGAAGGGCTTAATTTTGGAGGGTGAAACGGGGCTTCCAGGAAAATGAAGGGCCCAACCCTCCATCCTGCGTCGGTCCTGGCATCCCTGGGTTGTTTATGCATCGGCTCTTTTATACCCGACACGTTCCCCCGCGG